AGCAGGTTTCATTTCACTGAGCCATCGCTGGTCACACCCGGTGCTTTTATTTTGAAAAACCACACCATGCTTGTTAGAGTAAAACTAGAAAACATGCGACACAAACTAGTAACCCAACGTTTGGTAGATGTTTGAGTTTCCAACAAACCAAACGTGTTTTATTTTGAAAAGCTCAACAGTTCCTGTTTCCTTTTCAGTTTCACAACCAGCACTGAAACTCCGTGTGTTTGTAGACACGCGTGTTTCAGACCAGACGCAAAGATCTGTGTTTGAAAATGTGTTTGTAACTGAAGACGACGAGCTCGTCATCGAGCTTCAACACGACCTCTGACCTCAGTGAGTCGTCTGTGTATGAACGGCGTGATGATGAATAAGCCAGACGTTGAACTGCAGCACAGACTCGTTACAGTCTGTTGAAGATTTATTAACGGAGTCTTTGCTTTTAATTTGTGCTTGTTTATTTTTCCATCACGTCGCTCGCCTGACTCGGACGCCGGACGCTTTTTGCAGCGTTTGCTCGAATCATAAACGTGTAATAATGAATTAAAACAAATCGAGGTTGTTTCCAGATGAACCAGAGAAACGTTTATTTATTATGTTATTGCTGCTGCTGAGCTTCAAACTGTCTGCGCTGGTTTGTTTCCTCCAGGTGAAGATGCTCCAGTCTCTGGGGCTCAAGTCCACCCTCATCACGGACGGCTCGTCTCCCATCAACCTCTTCACCACAGCCAACGGCCTGCTGGGGGCGCTGCCGGGTCAGGGACAGGCCCAGTGAGGAAGAGGAGGGAGCAGATGTGTAAGTAAACCTCAGCAGATCTTCTCTCTTGTTTCTGTTACTGCTGACTTTTCAGTGATTTCAAAGAAATTTCTGTTCAAAGAAACGTTTATTTTTAATCATTTAGCACAAATTTGTTTAACACGAGTCAAGCAGGAAACAGACTGTGACGAGCTTCAGGCTCAGAAACATGAAGCTGATGTACCTGAAGGACACAGTCAGACCCTCATCACATCTCTGGCTTTTCAAAATAAGAGCCAGAGGAACAAATATAAAAGGAATGGTTCAGTGGAACAAAGGTCACTGATGAAGACGACTCCCAACATTTAGGGATTTCATTCTGTGTTGTTTTCTTTATTTTTCAGGTTCAACATTGGAGGTCGTGACGGGTTTTTTCCACCTACCATACAATATGTTAAAGGTCAATATTAAAGCGATGTGTGCTGTCCGGAGGAAGTGAGGTGCGCACGTGTCGGAGAACCCGGAGCGAAGATGTTGTTCCCCGTCCCACGCTGACAGCCAAAGATTTGTTCCTACTGAGCACTTTTTCTCCCAAAGCTAACGAGCTAACAATGCTGTTTACAGATGTTGACTCTGGTGTGTGGATGTCTCTGCCTTACAAAGTGCTGAGGTTTCTCCTTCTGTGGGTTTTTTCGCTGAAGCAATATTAAAACTGACGTCCTCCTCTGTGCCCGTGTTTTATTTTCATGACCTGCTCTGATTCGCCAATAATGAGCAAACAAAAGCTCCAAACGCTCAGTTCATCACCGTGTTTCTACCCCTGGCCCTGTGTGAGGTCATGGGGTGTCCCCTCTCTGGGTTCAAATGTTCCTCCAGTCCAAAAGCAAACCGTCAAAGGATCAAATGTTCTCTCAGCTGTTACAATAAAGTCAAAAAAAGGTTTGTTTTCCATCTAATTCTGATACGCCGCGTTGTGATTGAAGGATGTATGAAACGGGGTCAGTGAAGCCCAGGACGAGGGGGCAACTGTGCTCAATAAAAGGTCAGGTTGTGGGTCACTGATGGGTGGAGACAGACGGCATCATGTGACAGGAAGAAGGCGGCGAGAGTGGCCAAAGTTCAGCATAGAGAAGGTCTGAGATGATCATGTAGGGTACTCACCAGATTCAGGCTCTCAGAAGTGTTTGGGTGTTGGAGCACACTGCAAACAGTGGCTAACTCAGCCACACAACTCCCGCCCACCTGTTCTTGAGCCAATCAGAATTAAGTCTCAAAGGTCAAGGAGCGCACGAAGGCCTGGCGTAAAACAAGCAGGGATGATTTTGAGCCGCGACACACGCAAAGCCAAAGAGCGAGGCGGGCCCGTTTACCTCCACCTGAGAAAATACACCTGAATGAAGAAAGGACCTGGGCCGGTTCAGGACGAGGGGGCACATGGTGGCAATGGAGGGGGGGGTGCTCTGGATAACTTTTCTGTCAGATAATTGGATTGAACTTTCTCAGGCCTCTACCCTAAGACCTGACCAACTTGGGTGGCCGAGCTTCTGCTGGTCCAGCTTTTAGGGTCACTGAGACACGCAAATGTCCAGATGAACAGAATCAACCTTTGGGGAACAAAATTGGATGGCCTATATCAAATATATTCAAGCCCAACAACAACACTTCTCACTACTGCTAATTTAAATAAAAGTAAATAAAGGGATAGCTCAGTAGGTAGAGTGGTGGCCCCATGATCGGACGGTCAGGGGTTCGATTCCCCTGACCAGCTACCCTGAGGTACCCCTGAGCAAGGTACCGTCCCTACACACTGCTCCCCGGGCGCCCAATGCTTCACTGAGTGAATGGGTTAAATGCAGAGAGGAATTTCCCCACGGGGATCAGTAAAGTTTCTTTCTTTTCTTAAAACAAAGTAGGCCAAGTTATAAAGAAAAAGTCTTGAAAAAGTCTTGAAAAATAAAAGTGAAAAATAGAAATACAGAATAAATAAAATATCCATCCAGATCGTTACAACCAACAACATAAAATCTTAATCACATGACCTTATTTTGCAAAAATGAAATAAGAATAAAATCAGACATTCAATTTATGGACTCTCAAATGAACAGAGTCACATTAAACGCACCTCACTGCCTGCCGTAGCTGCACCTCAAAGGTCGGATTTAACTCAACCAAAGTTAATTAAAGGAAATTAATAAATGTTTCTAACAGTGAAGAACATTAAAATCATTCACTGTCAGTTACAGCCGTTATGATTCTGACGCCCCGCCTACTGAGAAACCTGCCCCCGGATCATTTGCATACTAACAGTGATTGGCTGAGGGCGGGGGAGTGAGTGGGAGGGGTTCTCTGTGCTGTGTGAGCATGCGCACAAACACAGCGCGGAGGGAAAGAGCGAACGAGATGTGAAATAAGTCATCTCATGTGTGCTTTTTCTAGCGGTTTTGCAGCTACAGTAATAAATCATGTCCATGTTCAGTTTGCTGGTAAACTATTATTTTCGTTCTCAACTTCTAAAAGTTTGACTTGAGCGGGCAGGAGGTTTGTTTGAGGGGCCGACGCCCCCTCTCGGCCCAGTGTATAGGGCTTTGGAGTTGACGTCACGCCGCAATGCATTGTGGGAGCGCGGCGCCATGTTCGGGGTCTACGAATCAAAACAGACACTGTGTTGGAACGACGACGACAAGAATCATGCTTAAAAGCAGCTCCAAAGAAAACGGACGGTATAGAGACCGATTGCGTCCAGAGGCGAAGCAGCGGTACTTGAAAAAAATAGAGTGCATCGCAAATCTGGACCCATATGAAATACGGCAGTGGAGTAAAGACCCAGACGCCTTACCGTCTCTGTCCTACCCTGATATCTTCACGTATCTTGTTTGTGGAGTAAGCGCCTACACCGCGAGCCAGTTTCGTAATTACAAGTCACTGGAGGCGCGCATACAATTTACAAACGGCTGGGTGCAAGATTTGGCTATTTTGTAACAATTGTCAAAGTGTAAAATAAAGCGTCAAATGCAGATTTGTCGTTACCTGGCTTTTATTATGATGTCATTTTAGTGAAACAGAGTTCAAAGCGATGATAAACTGTCAATTATAGTATACAGATACAGAAATGGTTACACAATGTAATGTCAGTGTGTTCATACAATTACACATAACAAAAAAGGTTTTCCTAGTACTATTTCTTCAGAGACATACTCAAAGTTTTCACAATCATTAATTAACAAGAACAAGTCTCATGTGTGTCTGGTTTCACTACCACACTGGGGCACATGGTAACCAAAACACAACATGCTGGGATCTTAACCTCCGCATTTCTGATGTCAAAGCCTCTGTCAAAACTACATCCCCTGGTAACAGCTTGTTAAGTATGCCACATTGCTCTGTGATGTGTTTAGCTGATGCACGGCCCCCCACCCCTTAGAAATGAACGAAATTGCACCTTGTGGAGTAATCCCGATCAGGTATTTCATGGTGTGTGTACCCTTGTAGTGCGAGTACGTTTGAGCAAGAGCCTTTAAATTAGATGGTCGTTCTGTACGAACTTGACATCAGCTCGTCTCACGGCTGCTATCCAGGCTCGACGCCTTCGTTTGGTAACATCCGATACCTGAGCTCCTTGATGTTGCTTCCAGCTTGGGAAAGCATAAAAAGACAACCCAAGCTTATTCCCGTGCCGACCGTAAGATCGAACATTGCAGCCGACCACACAGCAAGTACGAACCATGGCTGTGCTTTCGCTCCTTCGTCGCTTGCGCTTAGACCCGAACATGGCGGATCAGGCCAAAATCCTTTCCACGCCCACCCCCGTGACATCACGCTCCAAAGCCCTATAGCCCGGCACAGAATGAACAGGTGAGACAGGGACCACTGGGACCATCTTCGTCATTTATTTCACGTCATTTTGAGTTTCTGGGTTTTGGATCACCAGCTTCACGTCACAGTGACGTTTAAACATTGAGGAGTGATCAGAGAGGAAAACGATGTTAAACGAAGTCTGGACAGCGTCCTGAACACTGGGGCTTGTGCTCCCGTGTGTCCACTAGAGGGAGCTCACAGATTTCTCTGTTGGTGATCCTGCTGTGGCGTGTCCCAGGTGAGGTTGTAGAGCTGCACATACTGAAGCTACCACACTAATGAAATGAAACAACTGCAGCTTTACTCAGAATATTACAAAGTGTCTTTGTGCTCCCCACAGATCCACTGATCTATATCTATCTATCGGTGAAAATGATGGATCCTGTGCAGAGCCACCATGATTTTCTGCATGTTTGAAATTTCGGACATGTGAACACAGGACCCCTGCTGAAGCCCCCAGTGGACATTAGAGGAACTGCAGATTTCAGTCCCGGTGTTTGCAAACATGCTTTCTCTGCACAGCGATCACAGCGATCAGCCTGAGCGACAGAGGCACGAGTGTGAAAGTATGTTTTTAGTCTGTTATCAGGACTCGATCGCAGGCACGTCAGGGCGAGCAGCTCTGCAGAGACGAGGTGGCTCCTCTTTAACTCAATTCATCGACCCTGTAATCGAATCAGGGGAGGATAATGAAATCCCTCAAGGTTGACTCTAACTCTCTCCGACTGTCTCCTCTCCTTCAGTTTCCTCTTCATCTTCTGTTATCGACCCATCGCCCTCTGCTGGCTCCGTGTTTGTGTGGATATCCAGGATTCATCGATAAATCAGCTGATCGATGCCACAGAAACTCAGAGTAGTAAACAGCGCCCGTCACAGTCAGACTGAGAACAGAGACGTGTGTTTGTGCAGCGACTTCTCAGTAAAAATGAATCTTAATTCATTAACAAACGGACAGAAAGTTAACTGGTGACTCACTCAGTCCTGCACTGATCTTTCCTCCACGTAGGACTTTGTGTCAGATTTGCTCTTTTTCACATTTTTAACAGACTCGTGAAATTTTGATGTTCTGACTCTTCTTTTTCTCTTACTTGAAAAAACAATAAGATCCAGAAACACCATGGTTCGTGACATCCTGAAGCCGGGGGCGTTTAGACAGGAACAATCGCGTTATGTTTTCAGAATGATGTCAGAAACACTCAGCGTTCACCTCAGCGTCTCTGCAGAGAGGTCGGCATCTTCCAGGCGACCAGTCAGGACCTGT